AGCACTTTGGGAGGCCCAGGTGGGTGGATCACAAGGTCAAGAGATTGAGACCGTCCTGCCCAACGTGGTGAAACCCCATCTCTACTAAAAAAATACAGCGATTAGCCCGACATGGTGGTGTGTGCTTGTAGTCCCAGCTACTCGAGAGGCTGAGGTGGAAGAATCACTTAACTGGGAGACAGAGGTTGCAGTGAGCTGACATTGAGCCACTGCATTCCAGCCTGGAGTCAGAGCAAGACTCCGTCTCAAAAAAAAAAAAAAAAAAAAAAAAAGGGAGGCCGGGTGCAGTAGCTCACGCCTGTAATCCAAGCACTTTGGAGGCCAAGATGGGCGGATCACCTGAGGTCGGGAGTTCAAGACCAGCCTGACCAACATGGTAAAACCCCGTCTATTTAAAAAAAAAAAATGGGGAATAAAAAAATCTGAGCCCTTTATCTACTAAAGATACTGAATTTTTTAAAGTATAGAATGTTCCAGGCAAGGCTTGGTGGCTCACCACTGTAATCCCATCACTTTGGGAGGCCAAGGCAGGTGGATTGCTTGAGCTCAGGTGTTTTAGACCAGGCTGGGCAACATGGTGAAACCCCATCTCTACAAAAAACAGAAATAAAACCAAGTGTGGTGGCACATACCCGTGGTCCCAGCTACTCGGGAGGCTGAGGCCGGAGGATCGTTTAAACCTAGGAGTCGAGGCTGTAGTGAGATGAGATGATGCCACTGCATTCCAGCCTGGGTGACAAAGCGAGACCCTGTCTCAAAAAAAAAGAAAAAATCCAACAAGGAAAACTCCAGGCTGGTATGGTGGCCTGCACCTGTAATCCCAGCTCTTTGGGGCATCGAGACGGGTGGATCACCTGAGGTCAGGGGTTTGAGACCAGTCTGGCTGATATGGTGAAACTTTGTTTTTAGTAAAAATCACAAATTTTTTGGGCCCGGCGCGGTGGCTCACCTGTAATCCCAGCACTTTGGGAGGCCGAGGCGGGTGGATCACGAGGTCAAGAGATCGAGACCATCCTGGTCAACATGATGAAACACCGTCTCTACCAAAAATACAGAAAATCAGCTGGGCATGGAGGCGCGTGCCTGTAATCCCAGCTACTCAGGAGGCTGAGGCAGGAGGATTGCCTGAACCCAGGAAGCGGAGGCTGTGGTGAGCCGAGATCGCGCCATTGCACTCCAGCCTGGGCAACAAGAGCGGAACTTCATCTCAAAAAAAAAAAAAAAAAAAAATCACAAATTTTTTAAGGAAAAATGGACTTTTTCCTCTCCCCCGAAGAAAGGATAAAACTCTTTCCTGGTTATTAAGTGAAATGCTCCTCAAGCCTTGTCCTAAAGAAGATCAGCAAATGCAGGGACAGTGGATAAGAACCTTGTGAAATGTTTACTATTCGAGATCCTAAAACTAATGAAAGTGACAGCTTTTGGGATAAGGTTTATATGAGGGTGTTTGACGGCATTTTGGAACTGATGCACGCCAGTAGAGATTGCAGCAAATCGCATCATCAGCAGAACTTCACTAAAGAAGCAAAACTGGACTCATCACATGTGCTGTTCATCTACACAGTCAGGCTCCTGGACCCACCACACTTGCTGTGCGTCTACACGGTCAGGCTCCTGGACCCATCACACTTGCTATCCGTCCACACGGTCAGGCTCCTGGACCCATCACACTTGCTATCCGTCCACACGGTCAGGCTCCTGGACCCACCACACTTACTGTCCGTCCACACGGTCAGGCTCCTTTGCCTATACACATGCTGTCCGTCTACATGGTCAGGCTCCTGGACCTGTCACACGTGCTGTCCGTCTACACGGTCAGGCACCTGAACCCATCACATGTGCTGTCTGTCTATGCAGCCAGGCATTTTTCTATTGAAGCTCAGCTTGGTGTAGAACTTTTTATGAATTCGAATTTGTCAAACACCTCAAAATAATATTTTTTTTTTTAGGAAATCAGTATGACTTAATAAAAGTAATTTGGGTGTGGTGGCGTGTGCCTGTAGTCCTAGCTCCTGGGGAGGCTGCGACAGGAGTATCCCTTGACCACAGGAGTTTGAGGCCAGCCTTGGCAACATAGTGAGACCATGTCTGTGAAAACAGAGAAGTAAATAGCACCCAGCTTCACTAAGAGATGTCATCATCAGGTGAACGTTGGAGATAGTGTAGATACAATTTCTCAGTGACCGACCTCAGGTTAGTAACATTTCAGCAGTAGGCTTTGTTTCAGTTTTCTTCCTTTACTGTGAGGTGCAAAGCAGCCGGCCCATGCCTAGGCCCCAGCCTCACCAGGGAAGGCCGGCAGAAGAAGGTAGCAGCGTGAGAATCACCGTCAGGGTGCTGGTGTTACGGCGACAAGCCTCGTTTTGGTGCAATTTCTGTGTTTTCAAAGCAGGTGCTCTTTTTACATAACACATCTACTGTCATGGATTTTCTTGACAGATGGTGTAGCGTGCTCCTGAATTTTATCCTCGTCATGTGGGAGCCTCTGGTGGAGAGAAAGCGGACACACAATACAAATCTGCTCTGTGCTGCTTTTGGCAGCCGTGGCCTGGGTGCCTGTCCCCAAGTGCAGCATAGTCGCAGTTCTGTTTCAGACTCTCTCCGGGCTGTGAGGCTGGGAGCTGGTTGTATTTTTATATTTTGAGCTTTGTGGTTTTCAGGATGTTTTAAATTAAACCTGCATTTTTGTTTATTTCCAAACCTTAGTGCATCAGATTGGATCAATCAATCAGAATCTCCTGCTTCATCAAGAATTGTTGATGTTCATCTGTTAGCCTTTTTTTTTTTTTTTTTTTTTTTTTTTTTTTTTTTTTTTTTTTTTTTTGAGACGGAGTTTCGCTCTTGTTACCCAGGCTGGAGTGCAATGGCACGATCTCGGCTCACCGCAACCTCCGCCTCCTGGGTTCAGGCAATTCTCCTGCCTCAGCCTCCTGAGTAGCTGGGATTACAGGCACGTGCCACCATGCCCAGCTAACTTTTTGTAGTTTTAGTAGAGACGGGGTTTCACCATGTTGACCAGGATGGTCTCGATCTCTTGACCTCGTGATCCACCCGCCTCGGCCTCCCAAAATGCTGGGATTACAGGCTTGAGCCACCGCGCCCGGCCTGCCTTTTTTTTTTTTTAAATTTAGAGATAGAGTCTTGCTCTATGGCCCACACTGGGGTGCCATTGCACAATCATGGCACACTCCAGAGTCCAGACTCCCACTTCTGGGCTCAAGCAATCTCCTCAGCCTCTTGAGCAGCTGGGACTTGAGAGGTGCATGCTACCATGCTCTGCTAATTTTTTGTAGAGATGGGATCTCACTCTATTCGCACAGGCTGGTTTTCCATTCACGGGCTCAGGTGATCCTCCTGCCTCAGCCTCCCGAAGCGCTGGGGTTATAGGTGTGAGCCACCACACCCTGCCCCTTAGCCACTTTTATTTGTTTATTCTTTGACTAGCTGAAGAACCAGAACTTTTCCAGTTCTTACCCTTCCCCCACTGCTTGTCTCACCTCCAATCTGTATGTGAATGTATGTGGTGGGCTTTTATCCATTTAATACTGTGCTTGTGAGATTCATCCATGTTGCGTATGCAATGGTAGTTCATTCATGCATTCATTCATTTTCACTGCTATAAAAGGTACTAGGCTCTACATGGTGGTTGATGCCTATAACTCCAGCTCTTTCGGAGGCTGAAGCGGGAGGATCACTCAAGGTCAGGAGCTCAAGATCAGCCTGGCCAATGTGGTGAGATTTCATCTCTATAAAAAATTTAAGGCCGGTCGCGGTGGCTGAAGCCTGTAATCCCAGCACTTTGGGAGGCCGAGGCGGGTGGATCACGAGGTCAAGAGATCGAGACCGTCCTGGTCAACACGGTGAAACCCCGTCTCTACTAAAAATACAAAACATTAGCTGGGCATGGTGGCGCGTGCCTGTAATCCCAGCTACTCAGGAGGATGAGGCAGGAGAATTGCCTGAACCCGGGAGGCGGAGGTTGCGGTGAGCCGAGATCGCGCCATTGCACTCCAGCCTGGGTAACAAGAGCGAAACTCCGTCCCAAAAAAAAAAAAAAAAATTTAAGATATTAGCCAGGCACACAGCTCATGCCTGTAGTTCTAGCTACTCGGGAGGCTGAGGCAAGAGGATGCTTAAATTTAGGAGGCCAAGGCTGCAGTGAGTCCAGATCACACTGCTGCACTGCAGCCTGGGCGCCAGGTGAGACCCTGTCGCAAAAAACAGAGGGGGTTCCATTGTATGAATTATTTTTATCCTATATCATTTTCTTTTTCCTTTTTTAAAAATATTTTGAGATGGAGTCTTGTTCTGTCGCCCGAGCTGGAGTGCTGTGGTGTGATCTTGGCTCATAGCAACCACTGCCTCCCAGGTTCAAGTGATTCTCACATTTCGGTCTCCCAAGTAGCTGGGACTACAGGCACCCACCACCATGCCTGGCCAATTTTTCTATTTTTAGTAGAGATGGGGTTTCACCGTGTTGGCCAGGCTGGTCTCAAACTCCTGACCTCAAGTGATCTGCCTGCCTCGGCCTCCCAGAGTGTGGGGATTACAGGCATGAGCATCACACCTGGCCTATCATTTTCATTATTAGAAAAAGTTTGTAGGTTGATGGGTCCTTGGTTTTTTTTTTTCCTGCCTGCTGCAGGAGCGGAGCTGAGGCTTGAGCCTAAAGGAGGAAGAAGGAACTTGAATGCATTGGCTGGATATATATATTTAAGGTTTTCTCCTGCAGGTAGCTCTCTGTAAATGGAGTGAATTACAATATTTGAGGAGTCTTCCCTACATCACCTCTGAAGGCAGAGCTGTCGCAGAGCCTCGGGGCCCTGCTTTCTGTAGAGGTCACCCAGAGCCCGAGCTGAGTCCCTGGTGTAGTTAACAGAGTCTCACACTGACCCTGGGCGCCCTCAACGCAAGGCTGTTCACATCGTACTATTCACATCTCAGCATCAGTGTTCACACTGTAAGTAATGCTCTGGCTTTTCTCCAACCTGTTTTTCCAGATAAACATTGAAGATCTTGAGGATGACCCTGTGGTGAACAGGGAGAGGTCTGGCTCTTCGCTCACAGACGCTGCAGCACCGGGGAACAAAGGAAGGGCTCAGCGTGGAAACACAGACACCAAGGCGGATGGAGGCGTGGCCAGGACAGCGCCCCCAGAGCAGGTGGGGGGCCGAGTGGTGAGGAAGCGTGCTGAACAGGAGGGTTCCAAGGCACTAGCTACATATATTCTGTGCTGTGATTTTCCTTGGAGGTATAATTTTCTGAGTTCAGTTTTGCTCAATGGCCAGTTGCCCCAAAATTTACTTGGGAACCTTGGTGAGATTTGCATGAAATGTGTAAGAGCAGTGGTGGCATCACAGGTGCCACGCACGAGGCCCCAGACCTGTCTCCTGCATTCCGGAGAGCAGTGGTGGCATCACGGGTGCCACGTACATGGTCCCAGACCCGTCTCCTGCATTCAGCAGAGCAGTGGTGGCATCAAGGGTGCCACACGCGAGGCCTCAGACCCGTCTCCTGCATTCAGGAGAGTCTGCGCCTGCCCAGCAGGGTATGTCAGTGCACACGTGTGTTCTTCCTAACTGTGCCTCGAGCATTCACTTGCCTGGGTATGGATCTGGGTGCTGGTGTCGCTGAACTTTGAAGAAACGTGCAGGTCAGGTTAGTGTGGGGTTGGCAGAAATGCAGGCAGCCTGCTGCCGTGCTCCACAGCACAGAAGAGAGGCCTGAAAGAAGGGCTTGGTTCATTGATCCAGCAAGTGTTCTTGGGAGGCTGCTGGGTGCTAGGAACCTGCCTTTGTCCCCAGGAGCCTCTGATTGAGAGGGCAACATAGATGTGAAGTGACACGTGGGTCCTGACTGGAGGCCCTGGGTCCTGGGGTGGCTTCCTGAGGAGCCTTCACACTGTCAGAAGTGGTTGGCCAGGTGCAGGTGTCGGGAACACAGATACGGGTTCAGTGTGAGGCGTCAGGAGCACAGCAAAGGCCCAGCCTTCAGGGTGACTGCAGTGTCACAGGGAGGGGCTGACAAATTGAGAAATGGGAGCTGGAGAGGCCGGTGCTGGCCGGGTGGGTGCTGGGTCAGCCCTGTGAACCATTGTGAGGCTGGGCACAGGGACCCCTGAAGCACAGCCTGAGGGGCATGAGAGCAAGGGGCTCAGAGAGCTGGGGAGGTGCCTGCTGGAGAGAAGAAAGTGAGCTGAAGGGACTTTGAGGACACCTGGAGGTCGGGGGGTGACGGGGGCTGCCTGGAGAGTAGAGACACACTAGCGCCTTTAATTTTCAGTTCTTCAGATTTTACTTCTTTTTCCACTGATTAAAATGTGTTTCTGTCATTAGTCTAATGCAAGTGGCAAACTCCGGAAGAAGAAAAAGAAACAGAAAACTAAGAAAAGCAGCACGGGAGAAGCACTGGTATGTGGACTGGGCCTGGGTCTGCTTCTCTGCCTGATGCCCTCTGCCTGATGCCCTCTCCATTCTCTCTGCCTGTTTCTTAAGGTGGTATTGAAGGAAGTTGATTTAATACCTGTATTCCTTCCCGTGAGGAGTATAACCAAGGCCGGGCACGGTGGCTCACGCCTGTAATCCCAGCACTTTGGGAGGCCGAGTCGGGTGGATCACGAGGTCAGGAGATCGAGGCCATCCTGGCTAACATGGTGAAACCCCGTCTCTAAAAAAAAAAAGAAAAAAAAAAGGAATATAACTAATTAAAAGGTCAGAGAACAAGAAAAGGAAAAATTCTTGCTAAATTCTGCTTCCTGTTTTCACCCTCGTTCCTTGGAGTGTCAGAGCTCTGCTCTGTGTGTGTCTCTGTGGGAGTGTGTGGTCTGATGGGGGAGTCCCTTCTTGTTCTGCCTCTCCTGTGGCCCTGAGCACCTGCTGTCTGCCCTGACATCTGTCCTGTGCTCATGGGTGAATCGGATGGTGGCACAGGACCCACCGCTGCAGCTCGTCTGTCATCACAACATGTGTTTTCATTGTTGCCCTTCGTCCTCATCTGATTGTGTCCTGAGACCAGGGAGTGGCTTTGTTGCTGATCAGTTGGAGCCACAAGTCCCAAACCTACCTGAGGAGGTGAGCACACCTGTCAGGTGTGGAATGTGGTCTTTCAGCCCAGTTTTTTCTACGGTCTTTCTGGTTCTGTGACTCTGTCCATGCTTAGCGCTTCTTATGAAACATGCCTTCTTTTGTCTGAATTTGTGAATGGTACGTAGTGTTTGACCTATACTGTCCTTTAGAAACTACTACAATGTAATAGGTCTCTTTAAATAAATAATTTTGTTATTGTTACAACATTTAATATAATGTCAGGGTGGTGATAAAGAGGTTGTTTTGGGGCTTTTAGGAAAACGGACTAGAAGATATTGATCGCATCCTGGAGAGGATTGAGGACAGCAGTGGTTTGAACCGTCCCGGCCCAGCTCCCCTGAGCTCCAGGAAGCATGTTCTCTACGTGGAGCACAGGTGCGGCCCCACCCTTCTCTGTGGCTGCTGCCACAGAGACTCCATGGGAGGAAAAATTCTCTAAGAAAAGGAACAGAGAAAAGAGAAAATTAAAAAAAAAAAAAAAAAGGAAAAGGAAAGGAAAAGAAAATGTGGTATCTTTATTAAAAAATAATATGAATTTATTGTTAATCATTTAGGAAATAGTCTGGGCCCAGTGGCTCATGCCTGTAATCCCAGCACTTTGGGAGGCCAAGGCCGGCGGATCACCTGAGGTCAGGAGTTTGAGAAAAGCCTGGCCAACACGGTGAAACCCCATCTCTACTAAAAATACAAAAATGAGCTGGATGTGGTGGCAGTTGCCTGTAATCCCAGCTACTCGGGAGGCTGAGGCAGAGTTGCTTGAACCCGGCAGGCAGAGGTTGCGGTGAGCCGAGATTGAGATCGTAGCACTGCATTGCAGCCTCGATGACAGAGCGAGACTCTGTCTTCAAAAAAAAGGAAACAGGAACGAGGAGGAAAGGAAGTCATCCACATTTCAGAGGACTTTTACCTTGACTTCTTGTGTATCTTAGAGAGTTCCTTCTTTTTCCTTTTCCTTTTTTTTTTTTTTGAGAGACAGGATCTCTCTGTCACCCAGGCTGGAGTGCATGGTGTGATCATAGCTCACTGCAGCCTCGACCTCCTGGGCTCAGGAGATCCTCTTGCCTCAGCCTCCCAAAATGCTGGAATTACAGGTGTGAATCACCATGACTGGTCAAAAGTTATTTCTTCTCTTGTCATCCTTGGATGATTATTCATCTCTTGGTCTTATAGATGCTTAATGAATCGCTGTCTTTACTTCAGAAATTATTGCCAGTTTAAAAAAAAAAAAAAAAACTCAAGCATATGTGGTTTTTTGTTTTTTTGTTTTTTTCTTTTTCCTTTTTGGGTACAGCTGTAAAATATTTGGATATAGAAAATGTTGTGTTATCCTTGCAGCCTTGATATTCAGGGTGGATTGTAAAATATAAATTTTTGTGAGATTTCAAAGATTAAGATGATTTTGATAACTATTTACAGATTTAAAAGGTGTGGTTATCACAAGTCTTGAGGGGGAAACTGCTGCATAAAATAACTAACTTGGAATAAATATTTTGCATCAGTTTGGGAAAAAAAAAAAAAAAAAAAAAAACTCCTAGAGTCAGTTAAGACACACGAATGTAGTCTCAGGGTGTGTGTGCGGCCCTAACTCAGCCTCAGAAGCTGATGTGTGTCCCACACAGTGGCTTCCTCTATGCAGCGGCCCCCGAAGTGCCCCTCACCACATAGTGCCCAGCTGCTTCGCTGTGGTACCCACAGTGGTGAGGCCCCAACCATGGCTGGGTGGTGATTTTAAAGAAAGTAGGCCTGGAGGTTACCTTTTAAGCCAAAAACCACGGTTTTCTTTCCTTGATTATTAAGTGGCTTTCTAAAATTTTTGGAATCATTGTTGAACATAATTTCATTTTTCTTTCTAAAATTTTCGATTCCCTAGACACTTGAATCCAGACACAGAACTGAAAAGGTATTTTGGTGCTCGGGCAGTCCTGGGGGAACAAAGGTAAGTCCACAGTAAACTGCGTTCCCACAGCTGCTTCCTTCTCTCTTATACTCTTGAGGTGGGTGGTGTTCCTGAAGCCAGTTAACGACCTTGGAGGGAGAATATTTAAAGCCAGGGTGCACACATTACCCTCAGAATTGGGATCTGAAAGGGAGTCCACAGATGGTCTGTGTATGACCTTGTCTGTGACCGTGGGTTGTGGGGATGCCCAGGGTGGATGGGTTTCATCCCTCACAGTGTAAGGGGCCGTCTCTAGTGTAAGGTTCCAAACGCCCAGGCTGGAGTGCAGTGGTATGATCCCGGCTCACTGCAGCCAGGTGCGGTGCTCACACCTGTAATCCCAGCACTATGGGAGACCGAGGTGGGTGGATCACCTGAGGTCAGGAGTTTGAGACCAGCCTGGGCAACATAGTGAACCCTGTCTCTACTAAAAATATAAAAATTAGCTGGGCACCTGTAATCCCAGCTACTTGGGAGGCTGAGGCAGGAGAATCACTTGAACCTGGGAGGCAGAGGTTGCAATGAGCTGAGATTGTACCACTGTCCTTAAGCCTGGGAAACGCAGTGAGAGTGTGTCTTAAAAACAAGGAGGGGAGGTGGTTTCAAAAGCTGTTAAATTTTAAGATTCTCTAGTTTTGTTTTTCAGAGCAAAACTAACGTGAAGTTCAGGTTCTGAGATAAATTTCTTTTTTTTTTTTTTTTTTCCTTTTTATTTATTTTTTATTTATTTAGAGACGGGGTCTTGTTATGTTGCCCAGGCTGGAGTTCAGTGGCTATTCACAGGCACAATCCCACTACTGATCAGCAGGGGAGTTTTGACCTGCTCTGTTTTCAACCTGGGCCAGTTCACCCTCCTTAAGCAGCCTGGTGGTCCCCTGCTCCCAGGAGGTCACCATATTGATGCTGAACTCAGTGTGGACACCTGATCGGCATGGCACACTACAGCCCAGAGCTCCTGGGCCCAGGCAATCCCCCCACCTCAGCCTCCCGAGTAGCTAGGACTGCAGGCATGTGCCACCATGCCCGGCTCCTTTTCGAGATTGATTCTTGCTCTCTTGCCCAGGCTGGAGCGCAGTGGTATGATTCCAGCTCACTGCAACCTCAGCCTCCCGGGTTCAAGTGATTCCCCTATCTCAGCCTCCCTACTAGCTGGGATTATAGGTGCACACCACCACACCCAGCTAATTTTTCTTTGTTTGTTTGTTAAGTAGAGATGAGGTTTCACCATGTTGGCCAGGCTGGTCCTGAACTCCTGACCTCAGGTGATCTGTCCGCCTTGGCCTCCCAAAGTGCTGGGATTCCAGGTGTGAGCCACTGCACCTGGCCGAGATAAGTTTCATCTATGTCCATTCAGTAGTTCTTAGCGTTTGGGCAGCGTGGCCGTAGGTGAGGAAGGATGGCTGGCTGCGATGAGGAATGCAGGGTCTTCCAGCTCCAGACAGGAGGAAGAGCAGGGGAGTCTACTTCTGGGACTTTATGTAGGAGGTATGTTCTGCCCCTGGACTCTGCATTGGAAGGTCCAGAGTCTTTGTCTTTTTTTTTTTTTTTTTTTTTTTTTTTTAATAATTTTCTTTTTGTAGAGTCAAGGTCTTGCTGGGTTGCCCAGTCTGGTTTAGAACTCCTGTCCTCAAGCGATCCTCCCACCTCAGCCTCCCAAATAGCTGGGACTACAGGCACGTGCTACCACTAATTTATTTTATTTTATTTTTTGTAGAGACAAGGTCTCACTTTGTTGCCCAGGCTGGTGTCAAACTCCTGGCTTCAAGTGATCCTTCCCCCTCGGCTTCCCAAAGTGCTAGGATTACAGGCATGAGCCACCATGCCCAACCAGACATAATCCTGCTGTTTTCTTTTTTTGTGTTTTATTTTGAGACAGAGCCTTGCTCTATCCCCCAGGCTGGAGTGCAGTGGCATGATCTTGACTCACTGCAACCTCGGCCTCGGCTTACCACAATCTCTGCCTCCTGGGTGTAAGCAATTCCCTGCCTTAGCCTCCCGAGTGGCTGAGATTACAGGCACATGGCACCATGCCCTGCTAATTTTTGTATTTTTAGTATAGATGGGATTTCACCATCTTGGCCAGGCTGGTCTCGATCTCTTGACCTCATAATCCACCCACCTTGGTCACCCACAGTGCTGGGATTACGGGTGTAAGCCACCGCGCCTGGCCAGTCCTCTATCTTATTGGACCGTAGAGAGGACTGCTGGTCTGTGTCATGCCCTGGTTTTGCACGTCTTGAGTTCTAAGCGTTGTTTCTTTCTTTCTTTTTTTTTTTTTGAGCTGGGGTCTTGCTCTGTCACCCAGGATGGAGTGCAGTTGTGTGATCTCAGCTCATGGCATGCTCCCCCTCCTGGGTTCAAATGATTCTCCTGCCTCAGCTTCCCAAGTAGCTGGGATTACAGGCCAATGCCACCATGCTCGGCTAATTTTTGTATTTTTAGTAGACACAGGATTTCACAATGTTGGCCAGGCTGGTCTCGAACTTCTGACCTCAAGTGATCTGCCCGCCTTGGCCTCCCAAAGTGCTGGGATTACAGCCGTGAACCACCAGACCTGTCCTAAGCAATGTTGCTGCACCGTGGTGTTCCTGGGTCATTCTTCACCCTAGTGTTGGCGTCTGCACAGATGTTGGCTCAGTCCCCCGATGTCTGCAGGCATTTCTGTGAAACTGCCTAGAAATGAGTACGGTTTTGAGTGAGCTGCACGCTGCCATCGCCCTTGAGTAAAGTCAAGCAGCTTGCACACAGGTTCCCACCCAGGGTCCTCCTTCATCTTCTTACTTGAGATAGATGGTAGTGGGTTTAGAAATCCATCATCATGTGTAGACAAAAAGTAGTGTTGATGTTTTAACTTTTACCTTTTGATTATGGGTAAGATTGAGGACATTTTTATGTGCTCTTTGTTCACACTTTCCTTGGATTTCTTTTTTTAATTTTTTTTCTCTTGAGACAGAGTCTCGCTGTTGCCTAGGCTGGAGTGCAGTGGCACGATCTCAGCTCACTGCAGCCTCCACCTCCCGGGTTCAAGGGATTCTCCTGCCTCAGCCTCCCAAGTAGCTGAGACTACAGGCACCTGACACCACGCCCAGCTAATTTTTGTATTTTTAGTAGAGACAGGGTTTCACTGTGTTGGTCAGGCTGGTCTCAAACTCCTGACTCCAAAAGTGCTGGGACTTTCCTTGGATTTCTGACAGGCTTTGCTTTATATTTTACTTGACATTTTTGTGTTAAAGAAATATACCTGAGAATGCCTGCTTTGTCACCTGTATCTCCCTGGCCTGAGGGCTCCAGCTCCCCACCCTTTGTTTGCATCTGCTTGGTCTGCCTTTGCCATTTCTTTGCATTTTTGTGTGGTCTTATTTCTGCCAATTATGATTATTAATAGTAATTAGTATAATTAATACTGATTTATGAGTAATTAGTTGATAATAATTGCTTTTATTATTTTTATAGTAGTAGTATACTTTTTGTTGTATTTATTTATTTATTTTTGAGACTGAGTCTCGCTCTGTTGCCCAGGCTGAAGTGAAGTGGTACGATCTCGGCTCACTGCAACCTCTGCCTCCCAGGGTCAAGCAGCTCTGCCTCAGCCTCCTGAGCGGCTGGGACTACAGGCACCTGCCACCCCACCCGGCTAATTTTTTGTATTTTAGTAGAGACAGGACCTATGTTGGCCAGGATGGTCTCGATCTCCTGACCTCGTGATCCGCCTGCCTTAGCCTCCCAAAGCGCTGGGATTACAGGTGTGAGCCACTGCGTCTGGCCTGTTGTATTTGTTTCTTTAAAAATTTAAGTTCTCCCAAAAGACTTCGATGGAGAAACCACAGTTATCTTTTTATTCATCCCACCACCCTTGTCCTGCTCTTCCAAGACAAAGACCTGGCCTGCTTCTGTTTCTCCTTCTGCTGGTTCCCTCAGAAGCTCAGAATAAAATAGGCTCTGCTTCTTCTTGGGCCCTGACTTTCTACCGTGTGAGCTGGGTCGGCTCATTGCCCCCAGCGGTGGTTGCCTCAGAAGCTCGGAATAACATAGGCTGTGCTTCTTCCTGGGTCCCTGATTTTCTGCTGTCACAGCCGGGTCAGCTCATTGCCCCAGCTCCTTGGCACCACCCCTGCTGCTGAGAAGGCCTGCCAGCCTTCAGACTCCTCTAGACTCCTGCCCCCTACCCGCTCTCAGCATCGCTCCAGGCTGCCTCGCTGGGTCTGTTCTGGAGGCTTCCTTGTTTTGTGGGACTGCTCCCTGTGGGCCAGGCTGTCCCTAGAATTTCGTAGATGTGGCACATGAGAGTGTTAAGGGCTGACTCTGCCAGGCCTGGGCGTGTGCTGCAGGCAGGAGCGGGGGCTGGGGCCACCTTGACAACAGCAGGGCCCTCCACCCTGGCCTCCACTCTGCAGTGGCTGCACTGTGGGGCCCTCATGTCAGGGCAGTGATGGCCCTGTGGAAGGGAGCTGTGCTGTGCCCGTGGTGATTGTGGGGCACAGCTGCTGCTGTCATTGCTGCTGTGGCTCCCACACCCCACCTCTCCTGTTCCTGTGTGCCCAGGCAGAGTGCACTGAGCTCTGTTATTTGGGGGTATCTGCCACAGGGGTCAGGCCAACCCTAAGCACTGGTCAGATGGTATCTCAGCTAGGCAGTTAAGGAGACATGGAAAAGGCATGGAGCTACTGTTACATCAGAGATGGTTGGTTTCTTAAGCTGAGTGATGGGCATGTGGATATTGGCATGTTATTCTTTCTTTTGTTTTTCTTCTTTTTTTCTTTTCTTCTTGAGACAGGGTCTTATTTTTGCCCAGGCTGCAGTGCTGGGATCACAAGCGCGGGCCATCACACCAGGCTAATTTTTAAAACCCTTTATAGAAATGGGGTTTTGCTGTCTTGGCCAGGCCAGTCTCGAACTCCTGGGCTCAAGAAATCCTCCCATCTTGGCCTCTCAAAGTGCTGGGATTATAGGTGTGAGCCACTGTGTCCAGCCAGAATTTCCTTTTTTCTTTCTGTCTATGGGGCGTTGGGGAGCCAGCCTCCCTGCCCCACCCGCCCAGCAGCAGGTGCTGATGCTCATTTGCATCCTGCCCCTGTGCGTCCCCACCCTGCCCCACATGCCTTCTCTGCCCTCAGTGTTGCTTGCACAGTCCCTGCAGGGATCAGGCAGCCAAGCCTAGGTCCCCACACACCACAGAAAGTAAAGCTGTGACCATGTCCCGTTCTCCCCAGGCCACGGCAGAGACAGCGCGTATACCCCAAGTGCACATGGCTGACGACCCCTAAGAGCACCTGGCCCCGGTACAGCAAACCAGGTGAGGGTCTGCAGAGGCTGCAGGGGGGTCTGTACAGCAAACCAGGTGAGGGTCTGCAGAGGCTGTGGGGG